GAAGATATCAGATTGCTGGAAGTAAGGTGATCTAGGATAGCTCGCTTCAGAATGCGTTCCATCACCTTGCACGGCACGCTAGGAGACTTATACAACGCGCAGAATGGGTTGATCTTGTGCAAGAGTTGACGAGTGTCCTCCACCGTGAATACCAAGTCGGTTAGAGGCTGTTCGTAGTTTCGCCTTGACAAGAGTGGATGTGACGAGGACGCTGGGGCTGAGTATAGACACGCATAGTGTTCTCTGTGAACCTCAGATACCACTGTTATATCATTTGTCGGTTCTCCGTTTCTGTCCCTCAAGGAGAACGCGGATGGCTTGTTTCTGCGGCGATGTCCCATGTATTTGAACAAAACGTTCTTGTTTTTTCGAGCGAGGTCCAGGATGGTGGCTTGTTTTCGTAGGTTCCATTGGCGGATTCCCGACACCCACCGGTTTCACATTTTCCGAAATGCCAGCTCATCTTTGTATCCCCTGTATTCAACTTTTTAAAGATGAGTTGGGATCTTCCAAAAGTCGGCTTGTTTTCGTAGGTTCCATTGGCGGATTCCCGATTTACACCGGTTTCACATTTTCCGAAATGCCAGCTCATCTTTGTATCCCCTGTATTCAACTTTTTAAAGATGAGTTGGGATCTTTTGTCCAAAAGTCGCCGAATCCTTTTTGGCATCCTGCGGTTCATCCGAGTGCGTGCTTGTTCTTTTGGGACAAAAGTCGCATCAGCCTGTTGAACTTTCTGGACAATGGTTTTATATAGTTCTTCCACCGGAGCTGGTCCCAGTGCGGCTTGTTTAAGGAAGATGCGCATTCCTGAGAAGTCTGCACGGCAGAAGTCTCTAAACCACGTTTGAGGTTTGGGATTTCTGGCCAAATAGCAGAAGAAATCAAAGGTCAGCACACAGCGTTCGCTATGTCCCAGTGGAGCGTTAATTTTTACCTGATCAACGAAGTGTCATTCGTTGGTGATGACCAAATCCAGGAGGGATGGTAGTTGGCCCGCGTGGTATCTGGTGGGTGCCACGACATGTTGGGTCCAAGCGCTCTGTTGAACGACTTCAAACAGCGCCGCTGCGAAACGTCCGCCTGATTCGGCGCGCTGGAGTGCAATCCAGGAGGCCTTTGGGGCGTTGAAGTCACCTACCAGCAGGAGATGAGTGAAATGGTAGTTGGAGGAGAGTTGCTCAAGGGTTTGTGTGAGGAATTGGTCATTTTCAGGGGGACTCGAGGGACTACGGTAGACCACGCTGGGAAGGAGAGAATCGGACCCGCGCAGCGCGATTTGAACCCACAGTGCATCGCAAAAGGGTGCAGGGGTGGTGTCAGAGAGGACAATCGGGATTGGTAGGGCCGCATGTAAGTACAGAGCAACCCCACCAGCCCTCCCTCGTTTTGAGTCAGCTCAAAAAGTAGAGTAACCGTCTATCGAGATCTCCGCGTCAAAGACATCTGGTGTGAGTCAGGTACTCGTGAGTACGATTATGGACGGCTGTTTAAGGCAAGTTGACTGTTTAAAATCGCCGAGTTTGTTGAAAAGACTGAGGCAGTTTGTGGACAAGCATTTCAGTACTGTCTCTACTTCCTCAGAGGGTGAGGAGCCGAACGTTGACTGACCAGGGTGGTTAGCAGACTTAACAGTGGTGCACCGGCTCTGAGTCCAAGGCTCCAAGTGGGCCTCTTTAGCGATATTGTCTGCTTCCTGTCTTTGTGGTTTCTGGGGGTGCTTTTCGCTTGCCAGGTTTTTTCCTTCCTTGGGAGCCCGGTTTGCTCGGGCCTTTTGGCTCTGGGGGACGGAGTTTTTTCCCCATGGGCGAAAATTTCAACCGATGCTGTTCGTAACCCTTTCAGCATCCCCTTTTCGTCGACCAGATTTGCTGTTAATCAAAGATTTGCTGCAAGCTTTCGCCTTTCTGGATTCTTGGGTGTTTTAGCGCGGTTTGACCGGAAAAGTGTCTCTGTGAGGCCCTGAGCGATGGGTGGTGGCGCTGCTTGCATGTAGGGTTTGCTTCCTCTAGGGCGTCCCCGCCTTTGGTGGGCGAGAGGCCTGTGGTGGTCGAATAAAAATTGCTGTCCGGAGACGCAGCTGGTTTCGTCGGCCTGCTTTCGGGAGCACAGGGGGACGTGACCACAATCGGCTTGGTCATGAGTTCGGGGTCGACCGAATTGGTGCCCGGCGGAAGCCTGTTTCGTGCTTCCACCCCTGACCTGCTATGACCAAGCTTTCGCGCGTCTAGAGGACGATCCTCATATAGGCGCCTGATCACTGGGTTGGCCTTTTGAATGCTGGCAGCCCGCTCCAAGATCTCCTGTACGTCAGATGGGGAAGAAAGGGTGACTAGAAGTCCAAGCGTTTGCTTGCTTCACTTGTGGCGTAGCCATTCTGCATGAAGCGATTTATCAGTTATGGTGAGAACGTTGCTAGGGATCGATTGTGCCAGCTTCACTGGCGTGATTTTTCCGGAGAATGACCCCGAGATTAGCACTCTTTTTTCCCTTAGTCGCCTGTCCACTAGAGACGCTGTGGCGGCCATTATAGACGCGCCAGAAAGTTGTATGACTTTCTTCGCAGCCAGAGGACCCGGTATGGATATCGCGAGGTACTCGATCAACGAAGAAGGTTCCGTGTCAACTTTCGTCCAAGTCGCTGCATTCTTAGTGTCTGAATCCTCCAGTGCTGTAGAAAGACGCTCCAATTTCGCGTCGAGTATCCCGATCAAAGCGGAACACTCACATCGGCCTTTCTGAATCTGCGGAGGGGAGTGACAGCGACCACATTCCTCTAAAGTCTTGTTTCGCGTATGGGAAGTAAAAGAATCCCATAGGGATAGCAAAACCCCTAGGCACACAGATGTGTCGATGTTGCGAATAAGATTGACCATTGAAAAATGGCACCGGTTATATTCCTGCAGGATAGGGTGTTATGGAATCGAAATCTGTGCACTTCTTGAGCTGAAGCACTATCACACTGTTTTTTCAAAAAAGGGAAAAAAAAAAACAGTTAAAACTTCCCAACTTATCTCTGCTGACGCTTTTCGTGACGTGCTATAAGAACATACAGTTTTCGCACAAAAGAATTGACTTTTCGAAAGCTACGACGTGTCCTATTGCATTAAAAGGAAGAGGCAATTGATTTCAAAGTACGAGTCTAATCTCTGTAGCCCCATCTAGGCATACTGGGGGGGCAGCGATGCTAGGATAGTATTTAACTGGGCATTTTCCAGCAAAGCTATGGTCGCTTCAGCATACAGTAAAGTTCGGTGGGCTGCGAAGATATGGACGTAGATTAGGTTGGATTTTGGTTTGGGCACATACACAACAAAATGCGATATTTTGGAGCAAAAAAGTTTTATTCCATTCGCACAGGTTTTGCAACCAAGAGCATTGTGCGAGTTATGGGTGCCTGTTCCAGGATAACACATTACTAGTAGCACTTCTAATTGGCTGGCAGATGCCCGTTTCTGAGAACATTATTTTATTAAAGGCGTGACATTTTCATGCATGCATGCTTGCACCAAAAAGCACTGTAATCTGTCATGGTCATGTTGAGATTTGTTTTACCTAACCTCGTTTCTTTTCCCGCAGTTTGGCGCGCAGTTGTTTTAGAGACACTGTAACGCAGTTGAAACCCGACTGTACCTGATTGTATACCTATCATATGACATTATGTGTGCCTCTCCCTCCCTCTCTTCCCCTATTACAGGTACCACGGACGAGGCACCACTGGCCCTGGACAGGGAAGAGTATCCCGCTTGTACACCCCCCTAACTGACCTTGACCCAACCTTGTACACCCCCCCTTCCGGTTTCGGTTCGGGTTACTACACGTGCGTTGTTGCTACACTCCGGTCTTCTTCCCTGTACCACCCAACCTGTGCGCATGTGTGCTGTGTATACTGTGTGGATTCATTAATACCAGTCCGTATATCTGCACATTTCAGAACTGACGTGTGCCGTCCTCTCGAACGTCGAATACCGCTGACTTCCTGACATCCCACGCTACATTGGTGACAGAGGTGGGATCAAGTCAATTTTACGTTCGATCTTCCTGCGAAGCATACCGGAACACGTGCGACGAAATTGCCAGAGAATCGGTCGGTATTTTAAAGCTGATTATGTCCCACATCCAGCCACCTCTGGAAGAACCAGAGACGTTTCATCTGGGCGACGATTTCACGCCCTGGTCGGGTCGAATGAAGGCTTTCCTTACACGGATACATCCGCAATATCACGAGTATTTTATCCTGTCCCATCTGGATGACCCTGCCGCCCGTCGTGTACTCTATTCAGGCGTTTCGCTGTCTGCACCACCGGACATCCTCTGGAATGACTTGTCCTTCCTGTTCGATACACGACCGCCGAGTGATGTCCCTCACTCCTCACCCAACATAACCCCCCTTTCCAACACTTCGACGTTTCACTGTCATTCTCCGGTCCAAAATTTTTCTCCCACCACTTCCGCACTTGATGTTATGTGTCCAGACTTGGGTACGATAACTTCAACGAAACCTGTCGTGCAATCTGATCACAAACTTGGTTTCACACAGGCGGCTTATTCAACTCCCGATGATGAAGTCGATAATAACGAAAAGCCTCCAGGGGAGACGGAAGGGGACACAAGATCTCGAACTCTATCCGATGACTTGGAGCAAGTGCATGAAGAAGCCGCCAACGACACAACACAAGTTCCTTTTCTTTGTGGTATTGATGTGGACCAGCGGAACCCAGTACTTTACACTGAAGACGATGATAATAATCAAGCTGCAGACAGCAAGCCACAACAAACAAAAGTGGTGGTGGACGCGAACTCCAGTGCGCAGACGAGTATGGACACCATAAACCTGGACCCAGTGGTCAACAAAGCGGACGTTTCTCTAGTCATCTCACCAGCCGGGCACACAGAAGATGCTGTCTATCAAACAGATGCAGTTTCGGTCACCTCGCCGAATTCGACTCTAGTGAAAATCAAGACTTCCGTTGCTACTGCCAACACCTCTGCAGACCGGCACCCTGTGGTTGGACAAACCCACCTTAAGGTTGCCAACTCAGGAGGCAACATGAGTGACGTGCTACATTCCATTCTTCCACATGGCCCTGGACCACCCCGTTCAACTGTTACAAGCACTCCTTCTGAGCACTGAGGACAGTGCTCAGACTCGGGAGGGGGCAATGTAACGCATTTGAAACTCGAATGTATCTGCTTGCCCGTTTCTCATATGACCTTATACGTGCCCCTCCCTTTCTCTCTTCCCCCATTGCAGGTACCACGGACGAATCACCACGGGCCCTGGACAGGGAAGAGTACCCCGCTTGTACACCCCCTAACTGACCTTGACCCGACCCTGTACACACCCCCCGCTTCCGGTTTCGGTTTCGCTCAATACACGTGTGTCGTTACCACACTCCGGCCTTCTCCCTTGTTCCACCCGACCTGTGCGCATGTGTGCTGTGTATACTGTGTGGATTCATTAATACCAGTCCGTATATCTGCACATTTCAGAACTGACGTGTGCCGTCCTCTCGAACGTCGAATACCGCTGACTTCCTGACATCCCACGCTACATTGGTGACAGAGGTGGGATCAAGTCAATTTTACGTTCGATCTTCCTGCGAAGCATACCGGAACACGTGCGACGAAATTGCCAGAGAATCGGTCGGTATTTTAAAGCTGATTATGTCCCACATCCAGCCACCTCTGGAAGAACCAGAGACGTTTCATCTGGGCGACGATTTCACGCCCTGGTCGGGTCGAATGAAGGCTTTCCTTACACGGATACATCCGCAATATCACGAGTATTTTATCCTGTCCCATCTGGATGACCCTGCCGCCCGTCGTGTACTCTATTCAGGCGTTTCGCTGTCTGCACCACCGGACATCCTCTGGAATGACTTGTCCTTCCTGTTCGATACACGACCGCCGAGTGATGTCCCTCACTCCTCACCCAACATAACCCCCCTTTCCAACACTTCGACGTTTCACTGTCATTCTCCGGTCCAAAATTTTTCTCCCACCACTTCCGCACTTGATGTTATGTGTCCAGACTTGGGTACGATAACTTCAACGAAACCTGTCGTGCAATCTGATCACAAACTTGGTTTCACACAGGCGGCTTATTCAACTCCCGATGATGAAGTCGATAATAACGAAAAGCCTCCAGGGGAGACGGAAGGGGACACAAGATCTCGAACTCTATCCGATGACTTGGAGCAAGTGCATGAAGAAGCCGCCAACGACACAACACAAGTTCCTTTTCTTTGTGGTATTGATGTGGACCAGCGGAACCCAGTACTTTACACTGAAGACGATGATAATAATCAAGCTGCAGACAGCAAGCCACAACAAACAAAAGTGGTGGTGGACGCGAACTCCAGTGCGCAGACGAGTATGGACACCATAAACCTGGACCCAGTGGTCAACAAAGCGGACGTTTCTCTAGTCATCTCACCAGCCGGGCACACAGAAGATGCTGTCTATCAAACAGATGCAGTTTCGGTCACCTCGCCGAATTCGACTCTAGTGAAAATCAAGACTTCCGTTGCTACTGCCAACACCTCTGCAGACCGGCACCCTGTGGTTGGACAAACCCACCTTAAGGTTGCCAACTCAGGAGGCAACATGAGTGACGTGCTACATTCCATTCTTCCACATGGCCCTGGACCACCCCGTTCAACTGTTACAAGCACTCCTTCTGAGCACTGAGGACAGTGCTCAGACTCGGGAGGGGGCAATGTAACGCATTTGAAACTCGAATGTATCTGCTTGCCCGTTTCTCATATGACCTTATACGTGCCCCTCCCTTTCTCTCTTCCCCCATTGCAGGTACCACGGACGAATCACCACGGGCCCTGGACAGGGAAGAGTACCCCGCTTGTACACCCCCTAACTGACCTTGACCCGACCCTGTACACACCCCCCGCTTCCGGTTTCGGTTTCGCTCAATACACGTGTGTCGTTACCACACTCCGGCCTTCTCCCTTGTTCCACCCGACCTGTGCGCATGTGTGCTGTGTATACTGTGTGGATTCATTAATACCAGTCCGTATATCTGCACATTTCAGAACTGACGCCGTCCGTCCTCTCGAACGTCGAATACCGCTGACTTCCTGACATCCCACGCTACAACACAGTGCCGTGGCTTCAGATGCGGGCTCAAATGTGGTTGCTGACTTCCTGACATCCCACGCTACAACACAGTGCCGTGGCTTCAGATGCGGGCTCGGATAAATGTGGTTCGAGAACGCTTTGGATGAAAACACGAAGGATAACGATGTGATATTCGTGCATGCGGCATGTTATCGAAGCATCAGCACTGTTTTGCGTTTTGGGTGGGTAGGCTGCAAATGCTATAAGTGACCAGAAATACCAATAGGACGTCCAGGTTCCGAAGAAGCTATTGAGTTGAAAGCATTTGTTAATTACAAGCAACACACTCAGCATCAGCTGTCCAATTTGTTTTTATCTAAGGCGGTACAGAAACTATATCGTAGTCACTTCTTATTATCTAGAACACAATCACAAGGTTACAAAGTTTTTGTACGACTGGTTTTATGTGAACCGACGATTAACGGAAGAGGAATTAGGCGCCTTCATAGTTCTGCAGAATTATGTAATGTCGTCGTGTGAGGTGCAGCAGTTTAGGGCTTGTGAATTCGGGAAGGACACAACTACCATGGTTCGGAGGGAAGCTGTAATATGTACAGCTACCACCAAAAGTGTCGACCCTGTCCGTTGTGTGGGTGACGCATAGTATAGTTTTACTGAAGCAGCTGATATGCCTTCAGTGGTGGCCAAACTTTGAGCCGGACGCGTGCTTGTGCTGCAGTCATGTAAAGGTTACTACAGCCACATATGCCTTTACAGATGGCAGCAAATGGTGCTTTCAGACGCTTCGAGGATGTGCCAAATGTCGATATAGCACATGCGACAAACCGTTTGAGGTGAGTTTTTAGACAATATCTGATTTGTGGATAAAAGCCTTTGGATCACGGATGCCGTGCCTACCGGTTATGTGGGCCTTCGTGGAAAGCGAACACTTTACTCCCCTGCGTAAACTGTTCGTCTTGTTCATGGTGGGCAAACAATATTCCTTGGAAGCTTTTGTGACTGACAAACTGGCGGCACAAATGCATGCAGGAAGCGCGTATGTACCTCATAACATCTGTGTGTGGTTTTGGTCACAGACACGCTCTGCGAAAAACAGGCACATATTCCAATCTATGGTTTGCCTGGACAATGCTGCACAGCGGTTTGTGTTCATCATAATACCAGCAACTTCTGCGCTGCACAGATTCACGCTTTAACCCTAACCTTACGGCCAGCTTGTTGTGAACTGTTGTGGGCTGTGAACGCACAATCCGGGATAGTCCTAAAAAGTCGCATGCTCCACTCAGACACATTGGAGAGGGCCATAAAGAAGGAATCATGGCACACAGAGTGGGAACGTGATATGCACACGTCCTGCCATCGCGACCGAAGGAAAATCCCAAATGGTAGCGGCTACCTTCTGAATGCTCCCTGTCGAATGACCACGTATGCGTGCTCCCTCGTTTTGGGGCTATTGGGACCCCGACCAGTAAGGCTGTACCACCATAGTGTGAGGTCAATAGGTGAAGCCAATATACGTTTCATAAACTATAGTTCCCGATGCAAAACACAGGTGCTCCCATATGGTTGAAGCGTGTGCTGGAGAACGCACGCCAATTCTACGAAGATATGTGGCTCCCAAGCATCGATTTGTTCCCTGTATTTGGAGACCAGTAGCATCCGAGCAGTAAGAAACGTACTTCATTGACGCCCTCTTATATTGCTTTTTCATCCACCAACGGTGGCTGTCGGATTAAAATCTACGGGAACAAAATATACTCCTTCCAAACCACAGACGACAATTTTCGCGGCCTGCGTAAACAGTTGAACCTCTCAGTGGATAAGCTTCAGGAGCTGGAACCCAACAAAGCAACAATCATCATTAGGTACTTGTTTGTTCAGAGGCGAATCCTGCCGATTCAGGACCCAAAGTCCTGATGACCTAGGGCATTAAGCGGGAGGAACCTTGATCGGCTGGATACCGGCTGACAGTAGTTGCTTTGCGGTTCGCCTGACAAGGTCTGTGAAATAGCTTTACAAGAAAAAAGTTGATTGCTGTATGTTTGTTTTATCTGCTCACCCCTAATCGACCGTAGCTATGACACCATCAGAGACAAGTTTGGTGACGCCTTTAGTACTCTGTTGCGGGGAGCTGTAAGCTCGGATATCGCTGTGGTTGCCGGAGATCTGAATGCACATATGAGCAGGATCAGCGCACCTGGGACTGGATAAGGTTATCGACGTGGATTGGACCAGGTAAGTACACCCAAGGAACTAGCCATGTGTGGACTCCTTAAGTGACACAGATATAATGCCCTTAAACTAGGGAAAGCTCTTACTGCGGCTGTCCACCTGTTTGAGATTTTAGCAATAATCACGTGCGCTGACGAGCAAAAGTTGATTGCCTTCATTATTTCATCCTGATAATGATAAAAGCCATACACAAGCTAATCATGAGGATTGGAAGAATGTTCTTAGGCAATTAAATTCTGGAATCCTAGTCCAAAACAGTGCTAATTAAGACAAGACTGTGTCCTTTAAATAAGAGGGCGACTAAAGAGGGAAATTTAAAGATGAAAAGACCGTACGGAAGTCCAAAAATGTAAAGAACTTGACACTTCTGAAAGAAGAGGCTGAAGGGACCGAGAAGACATAAACAAATGACCATCCGGAAAGCGGTCGTCCAAACCACAATACTGACGGGACTTTTATGAGCTTCCCGGTCGACAACACCAAATACCAGTGCATAGGTTACGGAATGAACGACGAGCGGCAAATGCTGCATGTAAACGTTAGTTGAGGAATTCTGCCTCTTTTCTTTGGAAAATTACAGAAAGCCGAGAAGTTTTAAAACGTTGTCCTTCAAAACTCAGGCGTGCTTGAAATGAACACAAATGACCGTAAATATTATCAACTGCACACATCGGTATACAACACTGATCGTTAACCATGCATCAGGATGAAAGTACCTTGCGTGGAGCTAATTAGGTGAGCCAATCAACTCTAAGCCATTCCGCATCTCATTTTGTCCGCTATTTATGAATAATTTTGTAGCTTTTGTGCCTAAGGACTGTGCCATTAAAAGATGGTAATTTGATCTTACAGGACGATTCCTTGGACCAAAATTGCAGTTGCTTACAAGATCATTGTCCTTGTTGAGCGCTTGGGACGTTGGTTATCTCGAATTTGCGCTTGGGTTTTGCTTTCTAGTCACAATTCTCCGGAATCAACACAACTAAGAATAATGGTCAAAATACTTCATAGCTAAGAAGGCAACAAAATATGTGCAAAAATTTTGTCGCGACCGAAGATTGTTGCTCAAAAGTTGGGGCCAAATTAAAGATCATATTAAATCGAGAAGATGGTAATCACAACATCAATCGAGTGCATTGGTTGCAGTGGGGGAAACTCTCATCAACTAGATTAAATTTGCATCCCTGGCCATTTGACTGAAAGTGGATTCCTTGTTTGCTAATAATGAATCCGGTGTGCCGTATTCGACCACTGATCCCTGACTGAGGATAAGAATTCTGAAACAGAGGAATCAAGACAACACATGACCGAATAAATCACAAGACGGGGGACGATGCACAACGATTCAGCAAGAGTCCATATTGATTCTTATTTTCATGCAGGCTCAATCCGGCCGAGCAAGCATTTTTGGTGTGAAACAGATCAATATTTAATACTTACTTGTCGTAGTTCATGACGGTATCCAACCGGTGGGCGATAGTCAGAATGGTGTGGCCCGCGAACTTCGTACGAATCGTGTTCTGAATTAGTTCATCGGTGCGCATATCAACGGCAGCCGTGGCTTCGTCCAAAATCAGTATTTGATTATGCTCAAGTAGAGCACGTGCCAAGCAGACCAATTGCCTTTGCCCAACACTGCGCAAAACGGCAAAGCGAGAAACAGGTTTTCCAGAGTGCCTGAACCTCTCTGAACAGAACCTAATAATTTTAGTCGTGGGAAATGTCGAATTGCGAAGGCAAATGGCGGTCTATTTATCATGGTACATTGGAGATGGGTTCGCAACTATTTCTAAGAGACGTTTCTGGACGTCCTCAAAAAGAATCGGTTGAGTTTGCTATAGTTGAATTCACAAAACATTGCGAGGTCAAAGGAGTTAAAATACACGCCGGTCCGTAAACGATTGCCGTTGTTTACCGGAATGCGTGCATTATTTGGCTGGACAATGAACTGCATCAGGTCACTACTACCTTCTGTCGTTTTGGAATCTCAAATATCATTGCTTTGTTATTTACTGACAGTTTGACTCAAACATAAAAAAGAAAAGCTGGTGAAAAAGAAGGAACAAAGACACTTGGCGACTATCTAAAATGTAGCATAGTGTTTACCGTAGGAGTACTGCTGCTAATGACCTGATCGGGATGCAAACATCCCAAAGGAAGGGATACGGATCACTTTGAAATTCTGGATAAAACGGTGGAAGGCAAGTAGGATGATTTAAAGAATACAGTTTTCGGCGCGACAATATCCCATCTTGACCCTGTTGTCAACGCCATTCACTGTTTTCTGTAGGTTATCATTAGGTCGTTCAGTTTTGATAAGGTTGCCTGTTTAAATATGGTGAAGGAACTCTCGAATGAGTGACATCCGTTTTGGACATCCAGGGGATTTCTCGAAACTCTAACTTTCAGAATCTTAGTACACCGACAACTTGGACCAGCGGACACTGGAACCTACAGTGGTATGACGGTTTACGTTCCCCGCGCGACCAATTGGGCTACACCTTGCCACTCGATGCGTCGATTATGAACTCAGCAGTTTAAATGGTGACCCTGAAAGCAATCGCTTCATCTGCCTACTCCCATAAGAAAATTTAGGTATTTTGTCGCGTGGTGCTCTTCCAGGATCTGTCTAAATTTGAATCACTATTGCTAGATTACCATAGCCAGCTTAGCAGAGGTTAACTCGTGGTACCTTAGCAGCAAAAACCCAGTGTTTTTTGCACAGCAAGAAATTTTATGGCGAAAAAAATGACGAAAAAATGCGAAAAACAGTTCTCGCAAGGTGAACCACGCACAATTAGCTTTTTGGGGCAAATTGCAGAAAACCTTCTTTGGTGGCTGTTTGCTGCTTGGTATTCCGTCAGTCAAGCAAGGCCAAGTTAGGCAAAACAGGCCGCTCACATAAATACTAGGGCATCACTGTTCCTATGACCTGTTACGCATAAGCCCCTGTGAGTGCCTCGAGTAAACCTTCGCGCACATTATTAAGTGTCCGATTTTTAACATGGTGAATAAACATACCTACTGCCGGATAAATTGGTAAGCCTCAGTGACCTCACATCACACGTCATCCTTCTTTGAACGCATTTAGGCCCAAATATCACATTTTCAGTCCGCCAACACGGAACCACTTGCATGGAGGCCCCTGTCCACGCGGTTTCTCAAACGTTGGCCACTGATGCCTTCGGATTTGAGGGTACGTGGCACACTGCTGCTCAGATTTAACAAGCATGTAAACCTGGCCTTTTAATTCCCCGCTCATAATATAACATTTCGATGCCTAGCTGCCATGCCACCCGAAGGAAGTACGAGGACTGGAATACTGCCAGGTTGCCCAAGCCTAGTCAGGGGAAGCCGAGGAATTCGAGTCAGGTTCGAACTGCAGACTTCCCCGTCAGTAAATTCGCGCTCTAACCTGAAAAGAATCTGTCGTGAAATATCATTTGTGTGACTCAGTGTTACGAAGATCAGCAACTCGAAATTCATGTGGCCCGCGAAGGTATTCAGTAAAACATCACCTTCGTTGAACAACTGCTACTCATTCAGCAAGTTTTACTTGATTTTCCTGCAGAAAAAATACTTCGCAAAACATCGTTCTTGTTTTCTTGCAAAATTCTTCCTCCAAAACGGCCACAACTTAAGCAGTGTCTAGACCATTTCTACAATAGAGATACAAATAACTTACCTCGTATTTTAGAAACCATAATTGAGAGGATTACTGGGATTATTTTATATCATCTAAGTGATTCAGAATTACAGAAGCAAAGTGAGGCCGGTCAAAAAACAATTTAGAATGATTCCAAAAGAAGGTAGTGGACCCTACGAGGACCACTCAACCGTACTATTTCGAGTTGAAATTAAAGAAGACACTCGAGGAATTATCGAGTTGACGTGCGAAAACTGAACACAAAAAAAACCGAAAGTTTGCAGGCGCAAGTCAAATGCACCTCTTTTGGGACTCTCCGCTTCTTCTCAATCACCTGCGATGGCACTCACTCCAGCAGAATCAAATGGCTTTTCCAATTGAAAAAATGTGATAGTTTGATAGTCAATTCAGAAGTAAAAGTTTGCCTAATTGAACTGGACCATACTGTTCATTGGAAGTTGTCGAAGATGCAATATGTAAACTTCATCGTGATTTTATAAGGTTGGAGTAGAACGTGGCGCCTTTTGGGAACAAATTGAGCAGAAAGAGTGGGAGAAGAACGAACGATACTTTTTGTGCAACAAGCCTTTACGTCAAAATCAAAATAATGAGCGTGAAGAAGAGTGAAACATGGTCATTCACAAAGCAGAAAATAAACTGTTTAGCAGAGGAAATCCGGAACATGTGAAATATGCATTTCTGCTTATTGATCATGTTGGTGAATTTAGGTACCTTGGACGGATTCTTTGATTTCGGGCTTGCTCACCAAGGTTGATAACTAATGTGCAAAAGCTACGTCATTAATCGATGAAATATAGCCGGTGCGCGAATAAACGGCGAAGCTTGACGAACAAGCCAAAAATTAGCTTCCGTTTATCTAGCCCAATGAAAGCCATTTATCACAACTTATGTTGTGATGGGACAGTGGACTTTCTCAAAAAGAAAGACAATGTTTGGAACATAGAACTCGGCATAATAAAAGGTCACCATTTCAGATTTATAAATCCAGAAATCAGCACAAATTAAAGCGCATACCCTACTAGAAGAGCTACAAGAAACTGTCTTTTGTCGTGTAGTTTAGTTTAATTTTTGTGTTGCTATTGCATGACATTTGTTATGCAGAATTTGCTTAAAAGGCATAATGTTTACTGTAAACGCTTCGTGCGAACGCGTCACATTCGAGATTAGATGAAGTCCCCAAGCTCAGTAGCTCGCATGTGACTGGAAATGTGATGTACGCGGTTGGTGATCACATTGAGTGTCGCCAAGCTGCCGGTGTAAACTGACAGCGAGGAGCAAAACCAGTGGAAGTAAACCTTAAACGTAAGTTGTTCAACAAGGAAATGAAACTTGAACATCCGGAACTATTTGAACCACGTATGAAATTAGAGGATTCATGTTCCTTTGAGTAGTCTTGAGATAGAAAAAGTTGTGACCTGAAAAACTTGTGTCTGTCTAGTTACACTCTTACTTAGAGGCAAAAGTGGCCAGCCTGGCGACTAGCCTGGCTTAAACTACGTTATACTTTTGGAAAGGTTCAGCAGAAGTTTGGAAAAGATCACCCAAACCTGTGTGGCCTTAATGAGAAACTCATGTTTGAAGGATTTCCTGTGAACAACCAACATGTTTATAAAAACAAAACTGAAAGATTGACTCCGTTTGCATTACCACATTGGTTCACATACAACAGCGACGCACCTCAAGTTTTCCCCACCTTCTGAACACTCAAAGTCCAACTGGTCTCTCTGTTCCATAAAGTAATCCTTTAAATGGGCATTTTCCAATGCATTCCATAATTCATCGTCACTCCAGTTGCCCGCCGGATCCAAGTTGAAACGCAAGCTTCCAGAAAATAGGACAGGTTCCTTTGAAAGAATAAGTAGATAAAACTGTTGATGGTAGACACAATTCAAGCAACTCAATATTTTCCTCACTATGTATGAAAGCCTGCCTTTTTACTTTCTCAGAAATCAGTGTGTCCCACGTTTTGAATGGGCTTGTGAAAGGAGGTGGGGCCCCATTGCAAATTTATGTTTGAAAAAATTACTTGTAGAATGTAAGAGATGGGGAAGTTTGCGGAAAAACGCTTCGTAATTCAGTTCGTTTTCTTATTTGGCCAGCGACTGACTGATATAAATGACTTTAAAAGTCCTCGCAACTTATAACTCGACCACGCCACGGGTGAAGTACGATTGCTAAAATGGCGAGACGTAGATCAAAAAAACAACCCAAACTGAGGAGTAGTTCAAAGCCAACGGCGTTTGATAATAAGCTAGATATTTGGCCCTTTTATCATGGCGCCGCGTACGACGCACATAATTATCTAATGGCCTGCCTTGGTGGATTAAGTGTCTGGCTGATCAAACGCGAATGCCTAATCAACAACTGAGTTAATAACTGGGCGATTTCACTGCTGGCGCATTTTAGGAGTATTTCGTCTTCACCAGTGAATGTTTGGCAACCATTACAGCAGCAGTATAAGTAGGGAACCACTGGGCAGAGGAATTTACTTTCCGAATCTTACATTAAAAATGTAATTTGAAGGATAGTCTTAATTGCTACACTAACCTCTCGTAGTTGCCAACCGAGCAGTATCCACGTGAGAATAATTGTGCAATTTCAGCCCTAGCAGTGAAGTCAGTCGAAAACATGAAGCAACCAGGGTGGGCTACTAAGTAAACTCCCTCTGTTTTCTCCTTGACTCCGTGTGACTCAAAGTCAGTCATCTCAAGTCGAACGATGCCATATTATTCGACATGATTCTAAGAACATCTGATGGACTGATAAGTAAAGAAGTCATGTTCATGTTGGAGAAGACTACCCACAAGGTTACTGAGAACTCTTCAGCAGCAAACTTGTGATTAGTTTCTTCAAGTAAAATATACTTCAGTATCTCAAATGTCATACCAACTTGGAAATGAGGCGGCCTTTGTGCAGCACATCGAGTTGAAGAATATCAGAAACAAAGCATTCAACTAAGATCACGTTTAGTCTTTTGATAAAACGAAATTGGTGGACAAATAAGGTTATTCGGTTGTGTTCACCCATTCAAAGAGTTGTGGTAAAAAGTTGGTGGGTTTATTGCTCTGTTACGTCTCTATTTTCACTCAAAAGGTTTTTCAGGCCAAGTGAATAAGCTTCACACTTGACTGAATTTCGAGGCAACGTGTGGAGAGTGTTTTATATCACTCAGTTTTGCGCGCGTTGTCGTGCGGTTATCAGTAAAACGGTTTTGGTTCAAGGTGCAAGACTCCGGCGGCGCAAAAATCTGTTTAACCTTTCCGAACCTAACACAACTGTCCTAACACCCCCTATACCATACAGGAAAACAAAGAATGAAAAATAAGAGTACTCCAGCAAAGTTATATAAGCCGAAAGTCCAAGACTGTAAACCATATTTAACTTAGTGCAACTTTTCCAATAACTACTCCGTCGTAGGCTTTAGTTACTGATAATTGAGCCAGCTGAAAGAGGCCTCATTGATATGTTCCACGTCTGTCCAAAGACTTAGTCAACCTGGAGACTTGTCAGCTTGGCCTGACGATGCTTTTTTACCAGAAGTGGAACTTTGTATAGCAAGAAATCCATCATATATATATATATA